AAATAACCTCTGGGCTGATCTAAGTCATATCACAGATAGAACCCTAAAACAAACTCTGGGCTCAGTCAAAGTCAGACCTCGCTTACTCACAGAACTGGAATTAAACATATATTCTTGGGGTGCAACCACATGACTCAAAATTCCCATGAGATATAAATAAAAATTAATAGCCGCCATCTTGGTTGATTTAACAAGAGAAGCTTATGAGGAATCCTTTGTTATCGTCAACCAAGATGGCGGCTATGACGTAACATCACCACATTAATAGGGTTTTACAGGGAAAAAATAAACAGAGAGCCTGTAGTGTAGGGATCGAACCTGAGACCCCAGAGGTGCAGCGAGAGTAGCGAGTGCGCTATTCCCAAGTGAGTAACATGACAAAAGACACAGCGGCCATATTGGTTGACATAAAAAAAGAATTCATTGACAATTCTTTTGTTAAATTCAACAAAGATGGCGGCTATGACGTCATGTGCAAAGAAAGAATAATTAATTACTGCTGTATTAAGTACATGTTCTTTCTGGATGATACACGGAATCCCTCAAAGTGTTTTTATCGTTCTTATTTTCTGTCATTTCTAAAGTCGTATTAGCCACAGAACTCTGAGTACAACAGAAAAGGTTCCTGATTTCCCTCTTGAAGTCATTCTTGAGTAGCGCATACACTAGAGGGTTAACCGCTGAATTCAAGTACAGCAGGACAATAGACACACAGACAGCGTTAGGTGATAGGCTACAAACGTGGTAGTGCCAACAAATAGACTTATAAATATCTAGTAGCCAGCAAAACACGAATAACATCACGACAGCTCCGATAACACGAACCGAACGCTCAGTACGATTACGCGATGCATTGTGGGAGTACTGATTATAATTCAGCTGCGCGATCTGATTGGCTGTTTGGCGAGCATGTCGGCGGGCAGTAAGGAGAATTCGAATGTACATCAGGAGCATAAGAACGGGAGGGAAGAACTCGAAAATCGCAAGCATTATGCTTGTGTGGATCCGTTTTGAGGTGGCAGCCACGTCAGGAGGGGCGTTAGACCAAGTAACGGGAATACAAGAGAGTATGACCGGCGTGACCCACGAACATGCCAATAATATTCGGATACGCGTGTTTGTCATATACAAGTGGTATTTCAACGGGTAAACAATCCCAAAATAGCGGTCAAAAGTCATGGTAAATATGTTGATGACGGCCAATGACATGAGACTATTGTAGAAAAGATAAAATATCCTCTTGTTGCATTTGAATCCGTATTCACAGATAGCTGACATCGGAGGAAGGAAAAGTCCGATGAGGAAATCCGAGATACTGAGTGACAAGACAAACCAGTTGACAGGTGTAAGGAGACGACGCCTGGTAACCAAGACGTATATGACCAGACCATTTCCAGATACAGTGACCATGGAAATGAACGTGTTTATTATCCAGTACCAGAGTGGCTTTTCTGTAGCCCCTCCATTGACAATGATCTCACTGTTGTTGATTGTCGAGTTGTAGTCAATCATAGCGTATATATACAGATTTTTCTGAAATCAAGAATAGGAAAGATCTTTGGGATGCATTCATTCACGAGAAACCAATCACTGCCACCTAAAAATATGGGCGAATAAAATTTGTGGTCGTACGCCAACATGGCTACCATGAATTCGCGAGATTAAAAAAAAAGGTTTGTTTGGCAGATCTTTCGGATGCGCGCATTCATTCGTTCACCCAGGTGTGATCACAGAAACATGCATGTGCAAAATATTTAACAATTCGACAAACGAGGGTGCGCATTCGAGCTATATTCACCTGTAGGTAACCAATGACCGCGCCGGATTTAGTATATTCACTTGTGTAAAAATAATAAAAGAAGACATTGAAGGCGCACCAATATGGCTACAATGAAGACGCGTGGGGAAAAAGATTCGTATTGGGATACACGCATTCACTGAAGAATATAAACACAGAAAAAGCTGTACACGAATCGTAGAAAATCCTTCCACGGTAAACCGAGAAAGCTATATATCATTAAGTCACGCGAAGCCAAAGAAGAAGAATACACCCACTCACTAGAAATATAATCACAGAAAAATGTAAGCGGAACACAAGAAAATGTTTTTTCGGGACACTAACATCCATGGCAACCATAATGTGGTAAGGAAAAAAAAGATAGGAAATAAGCGCGCTATATCACTAGTGATTAAAAAAAACATCTGCAAGATTCAGTATCCTGCATATATATAACTTTAATCAAAAATTTGCTTTACTCAAAAACTTTTCATCTTTATAATCAATTTGACATTCAATATGCGCTCCAATTCTCTTATCAAAATGATCCAAATTCAATTATCGGGACTTTTTGTCTAGCCAAGATTTCTTTACTCAGAAACTTTTCATCTTAACTTTCTATTGACATTCAATATGCGCTCCAATTTTCTTATCAAAATGATTCGAATTCAAATATCGGGATGTTTAAAATATCTGAATCAAAAAAATTTAACCGCGCTTTGTACTTTTGTCGTGTATGTTACACCAGGAGAAAATTGCCCCCGGAGATACGGGATTTTTTCGCTTCGCTATCATCCTATTGATACATGCTCTAAAATTACGTTTATTATTGGTCGGTAATATTTAAAATGGCTACAAAAATTGAAAGCAAATGTTTAGATTTTCTTCAAAATTCTTATTATAATGTTGGCAAGAACAATATTTGTTTATCTTATTTTTTTTACTAACGCCATGCAAGAAAAAAAAACCGGATATTAGAGAGTTTTAGATTGACTTTTTTTCCTCCCCGCAAACGGCAAACGTGACCACGTTTTCATAGTTTTTCTGTACTTTACTGTACCTTTTACAAACCTTCTCACCAAGCGCAAATACTCTTTTGTTTTTCTACTACTTGGACTTTCTGCGATTCTTTTTCAGTAATTTAAAAGAATTTTTTACTGGTCAACTAACGTTTCACGTTTGCCGTGAACGTAAATCTAAAACTCTCTATTGAATTCGTTGCACGCAAGTCTTTCCAATTAACCTTCAAATTTCTTGGCAATCATTATATTTATTCTCAATTTCTCGGAGGAGCGGAGGGAAAATTAATATATATTCTTTTCGAAATAGATTAACGAATTTTAATTAACAACATCTTTTATCGGTCTACAGTGATCCTAACCTGCTTATTGCTTCATGTAATATTGGAAGTTACTACATATATCATTAGCTAATCATGGGCATTAATTAATAAGAGAATACAATCAAATTAAAAGTTGTAACTTAAAATGATAGAGAAAGGCTTTCGTAAAAATTCTGTGAATTACATTAAATTATATATATAATATTACTTATATACCATGTCAAGAGGCTGACAAGTGTTCTTATGCTTAAAATAAGTTTCCTTCTCTCTCTCTCTCTCTCTCTCTCTCTTCGATTTTTTTTCTTTTCTTTTTTCTTTTTTCTTTTTTTTTTTTTTGAAAGCCTTTTTTGAGTTACCTTATAGCTTTGATTTCTCCTTCACGGCCGGCCCAGAATATCTTCAGCATAAACGCACACTCCAACCCAATCGTTATGAGTTGTACGTGTATGTAACTATAACAACTTGTTTTCTTCTTACTGTAATTTCTTAGCTTTAGTGTTTCAAAGACAGGTGACAGCGCGCTTAATAGAACGCGTAATGCCCAAGAACCAATACAATGAAATATTGACTATCGTTGATGACTGTTTGTTTAGGTGTCGTATGCTTTTTCATTCCGCACCTTTTTGGTCTTTCCCGTCATGAATTACTGTCGTACCTGGCTATAGATTGTTTCCGACATGAAGTGAAATGGTATAAATAGCTTCAACTTTGAGTATACAACAGTATTGCTTTAATGAGGTTATTCAATATCATCGTTATTATTAATTTTAGCAATGCGTACAATTTGCGCACTTTATAACAAAAAGTTTTCGATGGCCCAATACGAGTGAGAGAAAAATTCGAACGTGATGTGAGAGGCTTAGCTTTTATATTAAACGACGCCATCAAAATGGTACTAGAAAGGGAAGAAAAAAGGAAGGAAGGATGTGAGAAAGGAAGGAATCGAAAGTGGAATCAGGGGCGGACCCAGGAATTTTTTCGGGGAGGGGTGCAGCGCACAATGTTAACCCAAGGAGGGGTACACCCTTAGAATCAAAGGCAAAAAACATTATTTTGTATTGGTTATCTTCGAAGTAGGGGCACAGAGTTGAACCAGGGAGGGGTGCGCACCCCCTGCACCCCTCCCCTGGATCCGCCACTGCTGGATGGATGGAAGGATGGAAGGATGGAAGGATGGATGGATGGATGCATGGATGCATGGATGCATGGATGGA